ATGCTTGCTAGGTTAGTAAAACATGTTTGGCTATAATTGTAAGTCATCTAGAATTATTTAGCATGATTTTTGGAGCAAAGTTTGTATTCAAACTTTTGACAAAATATGCTTTTGAAATTTTTATTGGAAAGGGTCAAAAATCCTCTCTATTTAGCTTTTGCTTCCCAATTCAAAATCTATGCAAAATTTTTAGTTGGTCCCTAAAGCAAAGTTGTAGAGGACTAAATTCTAAGCAACTTTTATTTTTGGGCCAATTTCAAAAGAAGTCATTTTCTTGCTCAAAATGGTACTTGAAAACTGATATTTGAAAATTCATTGAAAATATAATTAGAAAAATTGTTTTTTTAACAGGGTATACACTCACTTCAGCCCATCACCAAGCCGGCTCAAAGAATCCTCCCAGCGCTTCTTTGCCTTCGCCTCGGCCACCAGCCCACCCACTGCCGTTCCTTCTCTCCGCACAATGACGCTGTCTGATCTTGTCGTGCATGCAAGTAACAGCATGGATTCTGCCAATGCCCGGCCGGTGGCGTCCCGTGGCCCCCTGCAAGCAAGCGCGCCTTTTCAAGCCACCGCAGCTCCGCTTCTCCCAAATTTCTCATTTTCCTCTCCAGCAAGGCGTCTCGCCTCGCCCACTTGAAAGCTCATGCCATGCCATTGCCACCGTAGCCCGTGCCGTGTTGGCCACGGTGGTCCACCATTGCCCGCAATCGAGCACACGTCGCTCGCCGCGCTCCCGACACCCGTTGGTCACCGCAGGGGACACCATTTGAGAAAGGTATAGCGGCCTTGCGCGCTTTTTCGCCAATCATCGGTCATGGCGCCCAGCCATTCTCGCCAGTGGAAGGGCTTCTCCGTCCTTCTCCATCCCCTTGGGTAACCCGCTTGGTTCGCCATCTTCTTGCAGACCAGTAGCGCTCATGCCTGTTTGCCCGGTCGTGGTCGACAGCAACGTCATTGGTCCATTGGCAGCGGCCGCAGACCGCCGCCGTGGCGTCTGGAACGCCGTGCGTGTGTGGCCGCTCGCCTCGGCCTTGTTTGGGCAGTCGGCCTTTGGGCCGGAGCCCCGAGTCAGGCCGTCGCCCTTCCTCTTCGCTCGGTTGCGCAGGCCGAAAGCGGCCGTGGGCCAGTCGTTCCCATGGGCCGGCCCAGTAGTAATAGGAAAATTGTTTTTGGTTTTTCTTTTATTATTTGGGAAGAGAAATACTTTGGAAAATGGTTGTGTACTCATTTTGGCTCCAAATTTGTTGAAACAAATTTTTTTGTGTTCCTTGTCACCAGATCTACATGATAAAAATATTGCATGTCATTTTTGAGATACTTTTCTGTAGAGCTTTATTTAATTCTTGATATTGCTGATATCTTGAAAATGTGTAGAAAAACCTATAGGCTTCAGAAAAATATGATTCTAAGTTTGTTAATCTTCTTATGTAATGTGCCTCCTAGGAAAAATATGTGTCATGCATGTGCTGTAGAAAAATTTTGAGGTGTAGTTCAAGTGCCTTTAATGGCTGATTTTTGTTATTTTAGCTAGAGAGCAAACTTTGTATAAAACATGCATGTGATAATTTTTGTACAGTGATTGTATGCTATAAAGATCATAGGAAAAATGCTAACTCTGTTGTTTGACACTTTTCACAGTACAAAGTATTTTCATATTCATAATCATGCCATAGCTTGTTATTTTTGTGTAGGCTAATCCACTCATTCAAATACCATGAAAATCTGATAGTAGACTACTTAGGGTAGTACTGTGCTATGGTAATTTTTTAAGATTTTTCTAAGCAATAAAAATAGATGTTGCTATTCAAACCTATTATTAATTAAGGTTTAAGCAAGTGTTGCTTTAAGTTTGATTAAGAAATTAGTGAAGCTTTGGTGTATCTTTGAAGCATTTAATAAGGTGTGTTGACTTAACATATTAGTAGTAGAAGAGAATACAGTAGATAACATGTGCTTGTAGTATATGTTCTTGGATGATGTTGACTACCTTGCATTTAAACATATCCATTGTATTCATCTCATTCGATGCACCGATTGCATAAGCACTTACACATATTGCATCATACAGGATCGCAAACCGAGAATCCAAATCGTCATACCCGAGGAGCCCGAGGAGCAAGCGAGTAAAACCGCCCCGGCCGACGAGGAGGACGTTGAGGAACTTCCGAGTGCCCCGATCACCGCCTCGAGCTCCTTCGAGAGAGGCAAGCCCCGAGCATTTTCTCCCGGTTTGCAATTATTAATTAAATGCTTTAATTTAATTGATGCATTACGTTCAGAGTTGTTTGCAACCGTTCTTTGCATTATCCTTGTTTACCTTTGTTATACTATATCCTTATTACCACAGGTACCCGCAATCGAGTCAATGCTTAGTCGGCTTAGACCGTAGAAAGTCGGGTGATTTTCTTCGTCACCTACGAGCTATAGGTGGTTACTATCTGCTTGGATGACTATGAAGTCATGGTATAACTAAGTGTTAAATGAAGTTGAGACCGGACGGAGACTTGCGAGTTTTGAACTGTAGTGCTTTTCGTCTGTGTCGATTAAGGACCGACCGTTGTTGGGCCTCAAGTCATGTTAAACGCATGCCTTACATTTAGCTGGCCAGATAAAGTACCTTCCGACCGCGAAGCTGGGAGATTATTTGGGCCAAGTAGATTGCCCGCAGCGCACTGTACCGGAGCAGGTGTGGTAGGACACGGGGGCGAGATGATAAGACCAAAGTGCAGTCGGTCGGCCCCCGGGTACATGTGGTTCCTGGCAAACTCGAGATACCTGGATAGTTGACTCGGTGATCAATACCTCACTTTAGCGGGTGAGTGAAGTTTGTGTAAGGAATAAATCATCAGCTGGTTAGGAATCGATTCGAATCGCCATCGCTCCTGGATAGTGAGCACTTGACTTGAGTGACTTCATCGTAGTAATGTTGATGGAACACTTGAAAAGTTATAATGAATATGATAGTATGGAAGTTGTTAATGATCGTTGGTTATCATTATTGGCTTAATCACATGTTTGCTCTAGTGTAGGTGCAAATTTAGTCAACATGTTATAATTAATTAACTTGGCAATAATGTCTTTAGAAAGGTTCTTGAAAGGCTAAAAATGCTTTCTTTGCAAATGAGTCAGCTACCCTACTATAAAGCCTTCATAATCCTTGGTGTCACTTATTTTCGGTTATGTCGGGTAAGTCTAGCTGAGTACCTTCTCGTACTCAAGGTTTTATTCCCACTTGTTGCGATGGGCGTATATGTATTACGACTCTTCAGTATCAACCGCCTTTATCCTGCGATGGGTGATGCTTAGGACCATGGGCATGGTCATTCCTTACGCCTCGCTCTCATCGCTTTTGTTGGAGATGATCATTCGCTGGCACTATATTTGAACTCCGTGTGAGTGTGTGTGGTTTGAACAAATGGCTTCCGCTACTTTTATTCGAACTTGTTTTGTAATAACTATGTTTAAACTCTGATGTATCTAAGATGCAAACTTTTATGTAATATGTGATGGTGACCGCTAAACTTATTACGATCTTGGCTGGAATGGAAATTGGTTTGAAATCCTTCGTGATTTCACGGACTACCGGGTTATACAGGCTTAAGTTTGCTAAATCGTTTGCTCTGGCGAATGATTTTCTTACTTAATTTCGTATAATTGGTCGGTTCTGTTACACTAGCTGGCCGAAATCCCGGCCGTTCCCCGGTCTGCTTTGCGTCGTCCGGAAGAAGGGCGAACAACGCATGTTTCGAGAGTGTTTTAAGTGTTTCACATGTTCCATAGGTATGTTGCAAGTGTTTCAATATGGATGTTGCAAAAGTAGATGGGATGTTGCAATGCTTGTACACGTATGTTCCAAGCTTTTGTTTCTAATGTTTCATCTGTTTTTTAGACGTATGTTGCAAGTGTGTTTTTCTGGATGTTACATATGTTTCACACATATGTTGCAAATGATTCATCTTGATGTTGTGTATGTTTTGCAATGGTTTTCAAGTATTTTCATTTGTTTACAAGTGTCTCAGGGCTTTCAGACGTATGTTTCAAATGCCCTAGATGTTTCAAAAGTAGATCGGGTGATGCACATGTTGCAATGGGACCCACATGCCGTAGCCACCTGCAGCAGTTGATGGGTCGCCGCCGAGTGAGCGCAGACGGTCGGAGGGGGCTGAGCGGTCCCCGCCGCGGGTCTAGTGGTGCGGGCAACGTCCGGGCAGCGCGGGCCCTGCGTGGGCGCACAAAACGCTGGTGCCGCAGGGCTGTGGAGGCGTGCGGGCGGAGTCAAGGGCGCGTGTGGGAAACGAAGCGCGGACGGGAGGCGTGCTAGCACGAACGGAGGCGGAGAGCAAGCACGCGGGAAACGAAGTTCAGGCTCGGACGTCCGGGCGCTAGCGCTTCGGTTTTTTTTTTAAAAAAGTGTGTATTCTTTCTTATCAAGCAGATGCCGTAAGAACTTTTTCAAGACTCCATATAACCATGATGTATTATTACACTTGAAAATTAATAAAATCTTTCTTTTACAAAAAGTAAAAAGAAGTGCTAGAGCGCAGAGGCACCACGGACGGCGGCAGCATCTGAGCAACTAGATTAGGGACAAGAATCATGACCGGCTGCAGGGGCGGATCCAGGGCCCGGGCTGCCCGGGCTGCAGCCCGGGGCGAGTCCATGTAGCCCCTGTAACATATGTGGTGTTTAGCCTAAAAAACTATGACCTTAGTTAAACAAAAGGAGGCCTAGGAAGCAAGATCAGACTGTTTTGAACGTGAATCAGCAGCTCAGCCCGGGGCGTAGCCCCGTTCTGGATCCGCCCCTGACCGGCTGCATATGTAACACGAAGCAAACCAAGCTGGAATATTGTATGAATCACTGTATGTAACACTTACAATTAAAGTATAACACGACTACACAGGAGAGTCCTTCTTATCAAATACTCTGGACTATTTTTACTACCACACATGTTCTAGAACTTGATGAAAGAGAAGGGCAGCAATTTGGCGTCAATCTCATCGACCACCACGAAGGCGTAGTAGTAGATGCAGCGTGGAATATCTCGAGATGTTGTAGTCCGCAAGGGTGTGATCGTCCTGTAGCTGCCTCCCTGCATAGATGAGACGCTGCTCTCTAGGGGGAATGTGCTGCATATAATGAATCCTCTCCTTGATATCAGCAATGGTATCTGAGCTCTCGAACTCAAAAGTGATGGTGTTGCCCCTCAGATCCTTGACGAACACTTGCATGCTACCCCATGACCGTAGTTTGAGTTGGATAGTGCTTCCAGCCTTGATATTATAATCGGACAAAGTACGGTTGTCCTCCAGCCGTTTGTGGGAAATCATGAGACGCTGCTTATCTTGAATCTTTGCCTTGATCACGCTGATTGTGTCAAATGCGTCCACATTGAGAGGGATCGAGATCTCGCTGGCAAGAGCTTTCACAATAATATGCATCCCTGTGCCCAAGTGATCTTCAAGTTGTTGAATGATCTCCCAGCCAATAAGCCCAACGGCCTATTGGGCCTTGGTCACGCGCCCTGATCGAGGACGCCCAACCCTACATGATTGGTGGGCCCCGTTGCACAGCGCTATATAAAGTGGTGGGGGCCGGCGGCTCATAGTACGAGGTTCGCCGTGAGCCACTCCGTTCCATCAACAAACCCTAAGTCCGATCTCAACAGGATGCGCAGCCAGCGACGGAAAGCCGCCACCGTCATCACCATCGGCCTTACTGCACTGCCACTGCATCGCCGGACTTTACCAACACTTCTCCGACCATCGTTGCCCGTGCGCAGAGCTTCACCGACCGAACGAGATGGCCGGATCCTCCTCGACGGTGCCCTCCGATAGTCTGTACACTCCCATCCACTCTCCTCTCTCTATCACTCTGTAGTACGGTTCATTAGGATTACTACTTGTTCATCCCAAATACAAAGAACCACCCGACTAGATGCTACTCTAGGTGATCTTTGGGTCTGACAATGGTATCAGATGCCTGTCTAGTTCGTAGATCTAGATCGGGGACAGGAAAAGAAAAGAGAGAAAGATTGATCGATCCGGATCTGGATCGAGGAAAGAAAAGCAAATCGAACCCTAACCCTAGAATCCCCAAATCCCAGCAAAGATGAGAACGAACACATGGTCCTACCTGGGCCTTCATCCCGCCGCCACCGTGCGGGAAAAAGACCGCGTCGTCGGCCCTCGCCGCCACGCCACCGCGCGGGCTCGGTCCGCAAAGGGCACCACCGCGGCTCTCCTCGACGGTGCCGCACGCGCGCGCCGGCGAGAGGTGCCACCGCGGCGCCACCGAGGACGCCATGCGCAGCTGCTGGCTGCACTCGGCGCGGATGAGAGAGAAAGGGAGGGACATAATGCGGCTAGGGTTGAGGGAAGCCACAACCAGTGGGGGTTTTGATCCTCCGAGATCGATGCCTGGCCGTCGGATCGTGGTGGGCGGCCGAGATGCATCGGGCCGAAAGAGGCCCAGGCGGGCTGGCACTTTCTCGGCCTAGGCCCAGGTTGCGGCCTGGGCGCGGGGAGCGAGCGCGCGCGCTATTTGGGCCAAGATAGGAACTAGGCATGAAAAGAAGCAAAATACAGACGCGTTTAAACCAATCATGGGCAGCGCCGCAATCGAAATAAAATGGCTAAATAAATAGTACAATCATAATTTTTTAATTTTTTAATTTTCCAGAAAACAATCTGATGCATATTAGATGAATTTGAATTGCATTTTGATGCAAATCTCTGTATAATTTTGTCCAACGATAATTTTGTTCGGAGAACAGTATAGTATTTTAAGAGTTTTCGGAAAATAGAATTATGAGATTTATTAATGTTTCCGCTGCGTATTTAAAGTTGCTATGGTGTTTTTAATTAAATGTGAACCAACGGGAGAATTTGATTTTAAGAGCCAAGAGATAAATATGAGTTGATTATGATATTGTTATTTTCTGACCAATGTTGTTAATAACAATATTATAATTTTAATGATTATTCATTATTTCTATTTCTACCCAACGGTGATGTAGATTTAATGTATAAAACAATTATATGTTTAATTTTGACCAATGTTGAAATTTAGGCATGCAAATTGTTGTTATTATATTATGTTCTCACTTTAAAGAGAAATTGTGTTTTCAGGAGGATACTCCATGATGGATTATATCAAAGATATCCCAACTCTCAAAGGGGATAACTACATTGAATGGAAGAAAAAGATCGACTTGGCCTTCATCTTGGCTGAAGTTGACTGAGTAGTCACCACACCGTGTCCCAAAGAACCTGTGGCACTGGTGAGAGAGACTGATGAGACTGATGCTGCATAGCAGAACAGAGAGCGGGACTTTGCTCCCGTAAAAATGTCTTTTGACCTCGAACATAGAAAGTGGGTCACAGCCAATAAGAAATGTTTAGCTGTGATAAAGAATACAATTGAGCCTGCAATAGTGGGTTCAATTCTAGACTATGACATGGTCACGGAGTACTTAGAAAAAATAAAGAGTCAGTTCACTGGCTCTTTAAAGACATGCAACCCAGCTGATCAAGCAGCTGGTGACAGAAAGGTACTCTGGTGGTGGCAGTGGCATTAGAGAGCACATACTAAGAATGAGCAATTTGGCATCTAAGCTCAAACCAATGAATTTGGCTCTCAAGGATGAGTTTTTATTCATTTGATTTTTGCTTCTTTACCAAAATAATTTGACACTTTTGTTGTTAATTACAACATACGGTCCGAGAAATGGGATTTAGAAAAGCTCATAGCCATGTGTGTGCAGGAGGAGAAAAGAATAAAAGTTTCACAGGGTGGTACTATCAACTACCTAAAAGATAATAAGAAAAAGAACTATAATAATAGCTCTTCCTCCAAGTCCCCTAGAAAGGGTCCCATGCAACAGTCTCAGAACAAGCAATTTCCAGTGGATAAAGATCAATGTCTTCATTATAAGAGCAGGGGACATTACAAGCAAAATTGTCCTGATTTCCTAAAGATGATTATGAAAAAGAAAGGTGAGAATATTATTACGTTCGTAAATAAATTCTTGTATGTTAAGTTTTCAAAATCTACTTGGTGGATTGATTCATGTGCAACTATTCATGTTGTTAATTCTTTATAGGGATTCCGTTCGATGAGAACTTTGCAAGGAAGCGAAAGTTTCATTAAAGTCGCAAATGGAGTACAAGGAGATGTTGAGGCCGTTGGTGATCTTCCGCTAAAGCTTGCTGATGGCTTCATACTTTTTCTTAGAGATGTTCTTTATGTACCTTCTTTGTAAAGAAACTTGATTAGTGTTTCAAAGTTGGACCACGATGGTTATGACTGTCATTTTGAAAATAACAAATGTCAGATATTATTTAATAATAGATGTATTGGTCTTGCCTTCCGACAAGACGAGCTTTATTTGTTATCACTTCGTGAAAATGTGAATTCCGTATGTGATGTGAATGAGAAAGCATTCTCATCGAACAATACAAACAGAAAACGAAAGAGAACTCCTAATGTATCATCGAAATTATGGCACTGTCGTTTAGGCCATATTTCGAGGGAAAGAATAGGGAAACTAGTTAAGAATGAAATTCTTCCACCACTAGAGTTCTCTGACTTAGAGCAATGTATAGAATGTATTAAAGAAAAATATGTAAAGAAAATTAAAAAGGATGCCAAACAAAGCACATGAATTTTAGAGATAATTCACACAGACATATGTGGTCCTTTTCCTGTAAAAAGTGTGGATGGTTATGATTCATTCATAACATTCACAGACGATTACTCTCGTTTTGGCTACATTTATCCAATTAAAGAAAGAACAGAAGCGTTGGATAAATTCAAAATATTTAAGGCAGAAGTTGAAAATTAGCATGATTTAAAGATTAAGATAGTCAGGTCTGACCGTGGGGGGAGTACTACGGTCGGCATACCCCATATGGACAAGTTCCTGAACCTTTTGCAAGGTTCTTACAGGAGAATGGTATAGTCGCTCAGTATTTAACACCGGACGAACCTCAGCAGAATGGAGTAGCTAAAAGGCGTAACCGTACCCTGATGGATATGGTGCGTAGTATGATAAGTTACTCCACCTTACCGTTGAGCCTATGGATGGAGGCGTTAAAAATCGCCATTCATATTCTTAATAGAGTACCAAGTAAGTCGGTGCCCAAAACACCGTATGAGTTATGGACAGGAAGAGTACCCTCACTAAATTATTTACGTGTGTGGGGGAGTCCTGCTGAGGCTAAAGTATTTAACACAAATATTGAGAAGTTAGATCCCAAAATAGTAAGTTGCCATTTCAATGGCTACCCAGAAAAGTCAAAATGTTTTCGTTTCTACTATCTGGATAGACATACAAAGTTTGTAGAAACGAGACATGCTGTCTTTTTAGAGAATGAAATGATGAGGGGGAGCATGGTAGCTCGAGAAATTGATCTTGAGGAGAAACGGGTGTATGCACCCACTCCGATGGTTCAGGAGCCATTTTTCGAGCTACCTGCTGCTGCTACACCTACAACGCAAGATGTTGTGGTGCCAGCACCTATTGTTATTCCTTCTATGGCAACAACGAATGAGGATGAGGAACCCATGGTTCAGAATCCTACAGAACCTATTGCCACACATGAGGGGGAGCAACAACAGTCTAAAATAGAAAATGTGCCAAATGTGGAGGCCCTTAGAAGGTCTCAAAGAGTTGGAAGATCAGCTATTTCTGATGATTATGAAATCTATAATACTGAAGAGTTTCATATGGAGGGTGATCCCACCTCGTATGAAGAAGCCATGAGAAGTGAACACTTATCAAAGTGGTTGAAAACTATGAAAGATGAAATAGAATCTATGAGTTCTAATGGTGTTTGGGATTTAGAATAAATTCCTAAAGGAGTCAAAACAGTAGGCTGCAAATTGGTCTACAAAATAAAATATGACTCCAGGGGGAATATAGAAAGGTTTAAAACACGACTTGTGGCGAAAGGTTTTACACAAAGAGGGGATAGATTATAATGAGACATTTTCTCCAGTCTCATGTAAGGATTCCCTAAGAATTATAATGGCATTAGTGGCACATTATGATTTAGAATTACATCAAATGGATGTAAAGACGGCATTCCTAAATGGAGATTTAGAGGAAAATGTTTACATGGCACAACCAAAAGATTTTGTTGTAGAAGGAAATGAAAGAATGGGTTGCCGCCTAAAGAAATCCATTTATGGATTGAAGCAAGCTTTAAGACAGTGAAACTTAAAGTTTGACAGAACAATAAAGAATTTTGGGTTTAAAGAGAATGTTGAGGACAATTGCATTTATGCAAAGTTTAAGAATATGAGATTTATTTTCCTCGTTCTGTATGTGGATGGCATTCTACTTGCTAGTAGTGATGTGAGTCTGCTGCAGGAGAAAGAAATTTTTGTCCTCAAAGTTTGACATGAAAGACCTTGGTGAAGTGTCATATGTTTTGGGCATAGAAATTCATCGAGATAGAAGAAAGGGAGTATTAGGACTGTCACAAAAGGCATACATAGAAAAAGTATTAAAGAAATTCAGTATGCATAAATGTAGTCCATCGCCTGCTCCTATAGTCAAGGGCGACAGATATAGAGATTTTCAATGCCCTAGGAACCAATACGAGCTCGATCAAATGAAAGCGGTTTCATATGCTTCAGCTGTTGAAAGCTTACAGTATGCTCAAGTGTGTACGCACCCTGACTTAGCTTTTGTTACCGGGTTGCTCGACAGATTTCAGAGTAATCCAGGAATGGAACACTCGAAATTGGTAAAGAAAGTCTTGCGATATTTGCAAGGTACGAAATGCCTCATGTTGACGTATAGAAGATCAGAATCTCTCCAATTGGTGGGGTACTCGGATTCTGATTATACGGGAGATGATAGAAAATCCACGTTAGGATATGTATTCACTCTCGTAGAAGAAGCTATTTCATGGAAAAGCTCAAAGCAAACTGTCACTACATCGTCCACAATGTATGCCGAGTTTGTAGCATGTTATGAGGCATCGAGGCAGGTGAACTGGCTAAAGAAGTTCATACCCGGTTTGAAAGTGGTTGACGACATCAATAGACCACTGAAGTTATACTATGATAATAATCCAGCAGTATAGTATGCTTACAATAATAGGTCAAGTGGTGCTGTCAAACACGTTGACATAAAGTATTATGTTGTGAAGGATAGAGTCCGGGATCAAATGATAAGTCTTGAGCATATAAGTACCGAAAAGATACTCGCGGATACGCTTACAAAAGGCTTACCACCCAACGTGTTCAGAGAACATGTAGCCGGCATGAGTTTAAGGGAAAGCCTATGATTCCTATACTATAAAGGGCCAAAAGTTAAAGTATCTATTTCAGATCAGAGACGTGCATTATAGCTGTTAAATCTATCGGCGATTGATCGTGACGATGAAACATGCTCTATGCATCATGTGTGAAGAAATGAGAAAGGAGAAAAGGATTGAAGTTTAAAGTTTAAAGATAAAAGTAATAGTGTGAGATCAAAGGGGAGAATGTTGAAATGATCTCCCAGCCAATAAGCCCAACGGCCTATTGGGCCTTGGTCACGCACCGTGATCGGGGGCGCCCAACCCTACATGGTTGGTGGGCCCCCGTCGCACTGCGTTATATAAAGTGGTGGGGCCGGCGGCTCATAGTACGAGGTTCGCCATGAGCCACTCGGCCCCACCAACAAACCCTAAGTCCGATCTCAACAGGGTGCGCAGCCAACGAGGGAAGCCGCCACCGTCATCACCGTCGGCCTCACTGCACCGCCACTGCATCGCTGGACTTCACCAACTCTTCTCCGACCATCGCTGCCCGTGCGCAAAGCTTCTGCCGACCGAACAAGATGGCCGGATCCTCCTCGACGGCGCCCTCCGATGGTCTGTACACTCCCATCCACTCTCCTCTTTCTATTACTCTGTAGTACGGTTCATTAGAATTAGTACTTGTTCATCCCAAATACAAAGAACCACCCGACTAGATGCTACTCTAGGTGATCTTTGGGTCTGACACAAGTTTGATTTCTGATTCGTTCCTAACGTGGTAATCAGCCAACGTAAATGCGTCATTCAGCTGCTTCCCATGATAGGTGAGGAGCTGACTGTTAGAAGGAATGCCGATTCTATCTTGAATCTTTGCCTTGATGTCCTTAATGCTATCTGAGCTCGCGACCACAAGGCTGATTCTCTCCTTGCCGTGCCTCTGGATGAAGATCGGCATCGGCGTGCCGCTCTGGAAGTGGAGATCAAGGTGCAGAGTTGATTGGTTCTCAGTGTTGTAATCGGCTAAACTACGAGAGTCCTCCATGAGCTGGTCATCAAGGATGAGTTGGAACTGCTGCTTAATTTTTGCGTTGACATTGCGAACGGTTTCTGATGGGGCGACCTCGAGGGTCAGTGTCTTGCCACCGCTGGGGTTCTTCACGATAAGTTGCACCTGCATCCGTGCCAGACAGATGGTTGATTCCCTGCCGATGTTGTAATAAGCCAAAGAGCATCCGTCAATCAGCTGCTTGCCATCGAACGTGAGGCGTTGCTGGTCCAATGGAATGTCATCCATATAATAGATCATAGCCTTGACAGTGCTGATGGTATCTGTATTCTGGACATCAAGGGTGATGGTTCTGCTTCTGCCTGTCATCATCTTGATGAAGATTGGCATGCGCATCCCTCCGCGGTTGAGATCTAGGATGAGGCTGCATCCACTGTGGATTTCGTAATGGTCCAAAGTATGCCTGTCGTCCAGCCACTTCCCATCATAAATGAGGCGGTGCCGATCCTGAATCTTTGCTTTCACCACGTTGATGGTGTCTGAACCCAGAACCTCGAGACGGATGGTCTCCCCGATGAGGGTGCTGACGAAGATCCACATCTGTTGAGGGGCCTGCATCCAGTGAACAAGTGCATGAATTTCAATTCAAAGGGTAACTACTTCACTAGCAAAGTTGCAAGCAGATATAGTGATCAACACGTCAGCAAAACTCCATGGTAGGATCACAAAATAAATTAGCAATATAGCGTATCATGAACACTGCTAGATATACCTCGAAGGCGTATCTAGAATTTTAGCTTAGGGTGTGCCGACCCAAGATTCTAAATTTGGTGTGTATTCATTCAACAAACAAAAGACCAAAAGCGCAAGGCATCAACAATGCATCCAAGTCCAAAGAGGAGGCACAGTACATCAATTAGCAACTTGTTTCAAGGCTGTGCTGCTATACACCAGTTTTACTGCTGTGGATCACAATTTTCAACAATTATTAAGTCTGTAACTACTTTTTTAGAGAAAATAGTCTGTAACTATAACCAAAGAGGAGAGGCAGTACATCTCTTTTAACATTGCATATCCTTTCTACTCTATATATAGTCTGTGCTATTGTACATCGATTAGCAACTAGCAAGTGCTTTACATAATAAGTATATAGAATCGCTCATCGCATATCCCACATTTTCATCCACATCCAAAGACCAAAGCGGAGAGGCAGCTAGAGTGCCAGATAGAAACAGGAGATTAGGAGAGGCTCACGGAGTTACCGCTCACCCCGGGTCCTCAGCGGCTCAGTGGGCGGTGGATGCGGACGGAGGAGACAGGCAGAGGCGGAGCGGAGGTGCGGCCGTGCCTCTGTGGGCGTCGCCGTCCCGCGGTGGCGGCGTCGCCTTCGCGTGCAAGTCGGGGACCGGATAATAATGGGATACATATGGAACTGTTTTTATCTTTTATATTAACGGGAGTAGATTTGATTAGGCTTCAGATTGACCCAATATTTTTTTTTAGCCTGGACTTTTAGTGTACAAGTTGCTAGTATCTGTACTCTATACAACACATTTACACCATCACACACACGCACACCTCTAGAAGCTACAACCTATACACTTTAAACATCCTTCTGGATATCATTGAAGCCACACGAGCCTCATAAGATTGACCCAATATTATTTCAACTAAATTAAGTAATTTTAAAGGTCTATATTAAATGCTAGAGATATAAATAATCTTATATGAAAAATTGATTGGAAATTCACTAACTTAAATAGATGGGTATTATTTGTATTTTTTATAAGGTTAAAAAGGTGGAAGGCGAACCACACGTCCTTAGCATGGGAATACAGAATTAGCCACCCATGAAAACATACTCCCTGTTCGCTTAGCTTATAAGTCATATTTTTCAGCCAACGAACAATATTTTTCTCTTACAATAAATTAGCCAACAGTACTTTCAGCCATGATTTATCAGCCACACGAACAGGGCAATAACCCGTTGATCAGAGATATCTGCTTAGGTGGCTAGGGCACCATATGAATGATATATGGCACCAACGAACATTTTGTAGCTCTAAGGCCTCAGACTCTGTTGTGGGTTGATGTTTGCCACCTATGAAAACGATAAGAGCGGGAGTGAGAGAGAAAAAAGTATGGGTGTAAGAAATTTACCATCTATATTAAAACGGTTAACATCTCCTACAACTAAAAAAACAAAAGTAAGATAATTTTTTGGTGCGACATTTTTTGGGGTCGCCCTTCCCTCCCTTGCGATACCCACCCCGGTGCAATCCCCCGCGCCGACAGATGGGCCTGCGTACCCGTGCGATCCCCCGCAACCTTCCCATCTCGCGTCCTCTCTCTTCTTGAGGGTTTGGCCGCCGCCATGGCGAACCACCCACCCTACTCCGCAGCCACGACCCACAACCGGATACGCTGCCAGCATATAGACACAGGACACAACCGAGCACGGAGCAATGCCGTCCTCCCGAGGCGTCGCCCGCCACGCGCCCATCGTCCCCAATCCTACCGGGCAGCGTCGCGGAACTCGCCACCGTTACCATTCGCCTCGGCAGATCCCACGACGCGCGGATCCTCGCCGATTTGTTCCCGGCGGCGCATCAGAAGGTGGGATCTCTACTTCCGACATCAATCACTGAAGCACTCTCTCGATTTCATCCGTCGGAGACGAGGACCCCGACGAAGACCCAACAGGTATGCCCACCCTTCTCTTCCCTTCGTGCTGTGCGAAACCGAGCACCCGAACCCTGGCTATATTTGCATTCAGATCTGATCTAATTACAAGTGTATACATGTATCCCTTTCAAAGATATCAGAGGTACATGTGCACGCCCAATGTCCTTTACGGGATCCGCACCTGCGATTCTGTGTGCTTTGATCTGCTTTCCTCTTAATGTTATAGCCCTTGTGCTCCTCATCCTTCTATTGTATGACGAACCTACGTCAGGATTGGATGCTAGATCTGCAGCCATTGTAATGAGGACAATGCGTAATATTGTTAATGCAGGACGGACCATTCTTTGCACAATCCATCAGCCAAGTATTGACATATTGGAATCATTTGATGAGGTAAAAGGAGTAACTGAGAAGTCACTATCTAAGCTATTGATTATATAAACATGAGAGTGGGTTAATACTGACAAACATTCTAAAATCTTACATATTTGTGATGAAATCTCCACTAATTAGTTATGCTTATGGACTTTCAGTTTCCGAAGTAAAACACTATGATGTTAAATCTAATTTAGGAGTAACAATCATCGTGATGAGAAATTTTAGTCTGAACTCTGATCGGTGGAAGTTCCATTGTTCTTATTTACTTAACCTACTATTTCCCCCCTGATAGTACTATGTATAATATGATTACAATGCTTAGCTTGCATATGCTGCTCAGCTTTTATTCATGAAGCGTGGAAGGCAGCTTATATAGGGGGAATTCCTGTGTGATATTAAAAAAGATCGCAATGTCTTATGTGTCCCTAGAAAAGTTCAGCGGTCTTCAGCACCATTGCTCTAACTTTTTTGTGCCCTCCATGGCACTGCCTTCAATTTGGGCTCTAACGCCGTCAAACTGCAGGTGTGAAAAGACAAAAATTCCCTTAAGTCTAAATATGTCATTAATTTTTTGAGCATCTTAACGACTTCAAATAAAAAAAACTCAAAACTAGAAAGTTGTAGATCTCGTCGAGATCTATAATTTTCATATAAAAATTATCTTCATTTAATTTCGTAAAAAAATATGATTTGATATGATTAATATATTTTAGATTTTTTTTTTGATGGAATTAAATGAAGATAATTTTTATATGAAAATTATATAAGTCACCAGGAGCGCACCACCAAATCCGGCTCCGGCGAACCAGCCGGTCTCTAGGACTAGGTTTGGGACAGGTACCAGAGTGGCCTAATCTACAAGGCCGAACCCATCGATACTAAGATAGGGCCTGCTGGTAACTAAAAATCTTGTTTGTTGGAGAGAAAAATACTGTCGACAGGACGTGAGCAGTGATTTCGTGCCTAATCTACAAGCCCGGCGAACCCTTTAAGCCACCAACACGATATAACTAGGTATAAGTCGAGCGTGCAAATTGAGGGGGCGGAAAGACAGACCTTTGAAGAGCGAGTCCTCGCCGCAGCACGGAGGGCGTGGGCTCGTGGCCGTCGCCCGTCGGCGCTCCACCGGCCGCGCGAGGGGAGGAAAGGTGTGCGAAGTGGGGAGAGTGGAGTCTGAAGAAAGTCGATGCAGGACAGGTGTCGGATGGCCACCCGTAGGCAAAGCAGACCCCCTCGGGCCTCGGGCCCTCTAACGCCGCTCTCTCTTCGTGGGCCACATGCCCGAATCAAAAAAAATTGAGTCTTGTTATAAAAAAAAAGTTTTTGAGTCTCTCATACTTGCTACGAGGATTCGGCCCAGGTACACCTCGCCTCGGTGGGTGACGTGCTATGGGTCTCGTGCATTTCCTCCCTTTCCTTCATATAATAATAATAATATATTTCTTTTTTTTTTTAACTTAAACAGGCTCTCACGGCCTTATATTTAAATACGAATGCTCAGCCAAATCGCGAGCAACAATGACTTTGCTTCAAATGATAATACCCTTCTGGTAGATCATTTTTTTAAAAAAAAACTAATTAATTTATCCGGAAACCCTGCAGCATGCTATTGAATTAGCTTTGTTTCTTCGAGAGTGATCCGTTCTAAATTATGATTCACTTTGATTTATCTTAAGTCAAACTTCTCTAAGTTTAACTAAGATTTTAGAAGAAATATATTCACATGTACAAGTTCAAATAAATACATCATCAAGACATGTTTTTTTAGAATTCAAGGGAGCTAATTTGCTGTAATAGATGCTAACGCATTTTTCTACAAATTTAGTCAATTTTGATGAGTTTGACTTAGAATGAATGGAACTAAAATGGACTATGACTTGAGAAGGAGAGCAGCACGTGTCGGAAGCTTTTTTTGCTTTGCTTATGATTTGGAGCCAAGCGTTTCCCTTTTTTCCTTCTGAGAACTTTGGTAGTGTGACCTGAAAACTGAAAAGAATGGTCACATGCAACTTGACCGCCGCCTGTCCACAAAGCTGAGAGAAGTGAAGTGAGAACTCAGCCCGTGTTTAGTTAAAAAAAATTCCAAAAAAGTACTACAGTATTCATTATATCGAATCTTGCGATACATACATGGAGCATTAAATGTAGATAAAAAAAATTAATTACACAGTTTGATGAGAAATTACGAGACGAACATTTTAAGCTTAATTAGTCTATGATTAAATACTAATTGCTAAATAAAAACGAAAGTGTTACGGTAGCCAAATTCCAAACTTTCCCTCAACTAAACAAGGGCTCAGCCGTGCGGTGTCACCGATCCGTCATAGGCCCACGTAGGCACGAGCCGAATTAAGGCGTGTTTAGTTCCCATCAGAAGCATTCGTTTTATTCTTGTAAAAATTGTTCAATTATGGACTATTTGAGGCTTAAAAGATTAAATCTCACGATTCTCGACTAACTGTGTAATTAGTTTTTTTTTTCGTCTACATTTAGTACTCCATACATATACCGCAAGATTTGATGTGACGGGGAATCTTGAAAATTTTTGGTTTTTGGGTTCAAACTAAACGGGGCCTTAGAGTAGCAGGGTGCTTGCAGGTTGCACCGAGGACGGCCTGGCCCATGAATAGTCACCATCTCTTACCCTACTAGCTACTAGTACTATGCCTGCGAGTCTACCTCTATTCCTACCTTTCCCAAACACACACTGCACCAAGCCCAAACCAAAGCCAAAATGCTCCGCGCCATCGGATCGTCTGCGTCTCACGTGCAAGTGCAACCCAAAATATCCTCTCCCTGTGCTCGGAGAGAGAGAGAGAGAGAGAGAGAGAGAGAGAGAGACCCCAACTACCCATGTCAAATCTTTGCAAATACTCCATCCATAATAAAATGAATGATCTTAGAGGTTTATTAGTCAAAGTCAAACGGTTGTAATTTTGACCAAATTTACAAAAAAAAATGACATTCATGTTACCAATTATATTTAGTTGGTGTCATAAATATTAATAGTCTGCTCTATAAACTCTAACGATAATTTAACTTAGATGACTAAACCTATAAGGTATTTTTTTTTGACAGAGAGAGTAGCCAAATATTGTAGTGGATAGGCCAAATTAACTAGGACTTTGTTTAGTTCCTAGAAATTAAGAGGATTTGGAAAGTAGTCTGATAATAAACTAGAAGGATATCCCGCGCGTTGCTGCGGAACTTTCTTAGAAATAAAAAATTCTTGCACGTATGAATTAAACCTATATATTTTTACATCCATTCTTACCAAATTCAGAGAAGGCAAGGCGAATGAATGAATGGCAAAACAAATAGCAATATATGAATGCCTCTATATTTCCTATATGTTGAAATTAAACTGTGCTTAGTGGAGATGGTGTGAACAGCATGCATTAAGAGATTGAGAATTAGTGGAATGAAATGACTATTAGTGGGAGGTGATGTGGATAGGTAGCGAAAATGATGTGGATGTCTTACATGCTGAGATAAAACTTGTAGTTGAGTTTAGCTTTATAAGAGATATAGATGAGAAGCACTTTATAGATCTTGATTTCAATTCATAGGATCCAAACTGCCTCGAGAAAATTTGACTCGTCAGCGAAATGGAGAATGAAACTGAGGCAAACACAACAACCAGTACAACTGTACGAGAAGCGTCACCACGTACTGCCTCTGTCTAAAAAAGAGAGCAACTATAGTTTGGAAAAAGTCTTGAAAAATTATCAATAATTATAATACAAAAATAGGTATACTACCAAAATACTCAATCCATCTCAAATTGTAACACGTTTGACTTATTTGACACCAAGTTTGACCACTCGTCTTATTCAAAAATTTGTGTAAAACATCACTTCTTTCGTCGTGGTTTGGTTTATTAATAAAAATTCTTCAAAAATGACTTAAATTTGACTATATTTACACACATTTTTTGAATAAGACAAGTGGTCAAATTTGGGATAAAAAGGTCAAACGTCTTACAATTTGGGATGGAGGGAGTATATTTGATGAAAAAATCTGCTGATATAAATATTTATAATTTTTTTATACGAAGTTAGTCGAACTCAAGATGTTTTGACAGAGTACTATGCTAGACTGCATTCTTTCGATGAATGATGAAGTAATTGACATTGTAAATGCAAAACAACTAATATAGTCCACATGAATAAAATCGTAACAAATTAGTTATATTTTAGCGGAATGTATCCCAACAAATTAGTTACTCCCCCATCCACAAAAAAATGCAGTTTTCTTTTTTCGAGAAGTCAAATAATTTAAACTTTAACTAAATTTATATAAAAAATACAAAC